TTCTTAGGTCTCAGGGGTTTACCAGCACAACCCTGGAGTAGGAATCTGATAGTGCTGTTCTAATCGTAGAACCAAGATTTACCATGAGGCCTGGTGTCTCCTGTTGGGTTTTATTTTAACAAGGACTCCAAGCCTTTGTTGGGGATGAAGTTTGCAAAGATAGTCTGGTCGTCTGGAGAGTCCAGAGTGTGGTCTTCCACTTTCTGCTGCTCAACTAAGGATGGTGAGGAGCAGCTGGCAGGAGGCGGGGCTGGGTAGACAACACTTTACACAGGATAATGTGGCTTGGCTTAAACACCCCTCTATGAGATATCCCCCGCCCCCGCTTCCCATCTTGGTGTCCTCTACCTGGCCTCATGTACCACATGATGGTAGTATTTGCAAATTTGCAATCCCTTTGCCTTTGGGTAAGAAACGAGGGCTCATTCACCCCTCAGCTTGCCAATTCCTTGCTTGGCCTGCAGCCCCAAGAACCTAGATAAGGTTGTGTGGGTATGCTTCCTGCACTTGCCTCTCCCTGCACACAGAAGTTCTTAAGTTAGTACCATCCACCTTGGGACTCTGTGTGAATCCTGTTAGAGACCCACCTCTAGTTGGGCCCTGGCGAACTTTCAGAGTACCATAACTCCTGGGGGTACATTACTTTTTGGCTCAAGTCTGTCAGTAGCTCAGGAGCCTTCAGGGTTCTGAGGTACTCTTGGAGTCTCCACAGATGGATGGCCTTGTAGTCTGACTTCATGTAGCCTGGAGGCATTGGCAGGTGAACACTCACTGCACCTCCAATCTCCCAGAGTTTCCTAGAGCCAGAAAGACTCTAGCATAAAAGTAGAGGGAGGAGTAGTCACTGCTTCTGATGGGTGCCACTTGTCATATCTGGTGCTTGACAGTGCTGGACCTGGTGGTTTCTGCCTGGCTTGTTTCTCTTCCTCAGACTCACAGTGAGGTGAGCCCCAGGTGTCATGCGTTTGCCTAGCAGAAGTTGTGAGCAGTACAGGCTGTGGTCTCATGGTGAGTGATGGCCTTTCTGCTTCCTTGGTTCTTGTGATGTAGGTCCCTGCCTGATATTAAGTATGTGCTTCCTGTTACCATGACGAAATGCCTAGCACAATCAATTTAATGTTTCAGTGGTGGTGATGGTGGTGTTTGTTTTTGTTGTTGTTTTTGCTTGTCATACATTGATTGAAGTGGGGGCATTGCCAGAGCATGATCATCTCATGGCAGCCAAGAAGGGGGATATAGGACAAAGAACCTAATGTCTCCTTAGGGCTCTTTCTTAGGGCTCCATTCATAAATATTCATGTTTCATCTGGGCCAGTGGTGGTTCCTTGCCCCACCTTTGTATGGCCACCACAGAGATGCTACCTGCTTCCCTGGTACCCCTGCTGGCCACTGCAAATAGGCTTCCCCATGGGCATTTGAGCCACTGTGCACAGGCAGGTAGTACCACACTGGGTGCCCAGAAATGCAAATAAAAATAATGGACGGGGCCTGTAACTGATGGGGAAAGAAGGGGGAGGCCCACTTGGCCACACTGTTTGCTAAGTAAATACAGATTGATCTGTGCCTATCCATCTAATGAACAAGTGCATAGCTCAAGGCCTGGTACCTGAGCTCTCCTGTGGTAGAGCTTTAGCAAGGAGTTTGGGCATATTTGGGCATTGGGAATGACTCACAAAAGACAAAGAACCAGGCTGTTCCTAACAACAGCTATAAATGACCCTCGGGCCTTCAACGTGCTCTGTGAGCTACACATCTACCCTGAAGCTGTCCTTCGGGGCACTGCCACGGGTTCCCCAGGCAGAGTCAGAACAGGACCTGTGAGATGAGTGGATGAGTGTTGACACACAGATACATGGAACAACCAAGAAAACACTGGTGGTCTGTTATGGTGGTAGCAGTGGATTAGCCCTGACAGCCTTGTCCTAATAGCAGAACACCTGAGCCTGCCTGCCCACATCACTTCTTCCAGCTCATCCTTCACTGCTTTCTACCTAGGCAGGTTAGCTAGCCTGCCCTGGCCACTGCTGTGATGCCTGGTCACTTGACTGACTCCAGATTGTGGCCCCAGCAGTGTGGGACTTAAAGGTGTGGCAGGTGGTTCCTCAGGTGAGAGTGGCCTGCAGCTGCAAGGGGACACAGAGGATATGGCATTTTCTTCAGGGCCTTCTGGAAGCCCACACTGATAAGGTGGCCCATCAGTCAGGGTAAAGCCATGGGACACTGAGCACCTAGGCAAAGGCCCCTTAAACTCAATCCGTGCAGCCCATAGTAGACACTGACTGCACAGCTGAGCATTTCTGATGCACCAACCCAACACCTGGTTCCCCAGGTGTTCTGTCCCCTTCTCCTGTCTGAGAGCAGGATGGTATCTGTCCAAGGACAAGGACGCTCTGTGCTGCCAGGCTACTGGGTCTTGGGCAGAGTCCTCTCTGCAAGGACTGCTGATCCGGACTATATGGGAACATAGGGCTCTAAATATACCAGGGTGAGGTCACTGGGTGGAGATGAAGCCATGGAACAAGCTCTGGAGCCCAGTGGTACTGAGATCCCAGGCCAAGGAACACTGACTTTGCCTTCCCTTGGGAATGACCTCCTCATAGCACACTCTTTGCATGGGATCCCTACCTATCTCATGTCGGAGTATAGGAGCCATGTCTGTAGGCAGGCTAGGCACCCCTGGAGCAGCAGAGCCAGTGTTGTAACAGCCATCTGGATGTGTTACAGACCTAGTCTCAGACAAAAGTGGAGGCCTTTGTTCCCCAGTGAGGGGACTAGCTTGTCAGGAATACCTTGTGAAAGACTGTGGGACAGTGTAAAGGTCTACTGTCTGCTCTGTGCTCCCTACAGCTTCTCTCCCAGGAGTCAGAGCCCTGAGGAAAGGAGGCATGATGAGATGACTGCCTTCAGCTAAAAAAGCTGGGATGCATGGGTCCTACAGATTGTCTGCCTCCTGGTCTAGGAACCAACCTGGTACCTCACCTGGCAGGCATGACTAAGGTGTGGACTAGAGACAGGAACAATTCTGGGTTACCCATGTGAGTCAGAGAACTGATGTGATCAGGATTCCTGGGGCTAATATTGAAGGTGGAGGGAGGGCTTGGGAGCCCAGGGACATGGTTTCCATGAAACTAGGAACAACATTTAGGTGACATCAATTAAGAAATTAGGGATCCTGACCTGTAGGAGTAGGGAATGGATCATCCCCAAGAGTCTTCAGGAAGGAGGAAGTTCACTGCCCCAGGCTATGGGTGGGCAAAGTAATCAAAACATGCTGGGTTGTAGCCAGCAATTGGGTAGCAGCAGGAGACTGACACTACTGACCTGCAGGTTGATCTTCTGGTCACTGGGTTGTTTGTAGTGTGCCCCAACAGCCTCCTGGGAGCTAGCTGACATCCCTCCCCCAAATGCTGGAGCCGCTGCTTGGCACCCAGAAACGATCTACAGGGGTGTGGACTGCAGCCACACTTACAATGACAAGAGAAGGCCTAAGTGACCTTCGGCAATGATATGCCAGCATGTGACGTTCAGCGACTGGCCTGGCCTAATGAGTGTGTGTGTGCATACCTGGTTCTACCTGGGGATGTGCTTTTCTCCTTGTGACCCGGAGTGCCAGGTGTATGCTGTCGGTGAAGGGGGCTTAGGGCTGTGGCCAGCCAGCTTGGCTACCAAGAACCTGCAGTGCCATGGCACTACCGCCCTGTGGGGTTCTTCAGTCTGCAGGTGGATTGATTACCCACCAGATAGGTATGGATGTGTCCTGAGAAGTGTTTAAACAGAGAGACTCTTCATTATGATAGGTTCAGTTTGTTAGTAGTTTTGACAGTTGGTGCTCTGGACTCCTCAGGAGCACCTATCATCCCACAGTTGCAGATCCTCTCCTGAATTTTTTGGAGCTTGGTCTTAGCTTGCCATTTAGGTTTGGGATTCACTGAATTTTCCATGTGCATGTGTGTGGAGCACATATGCACACATGCATAAGGAGACCCAGGTTAATGCTGGGAATCATCACTCACTCCTCCACCTGTTCATTGAGACACATCTCTGGGTCAAACCTGGAGCTCACCAACACAGCTAGTCTTACTAGCCAGTTTGCTCTAGGGACCCCATCTTTCCCTTCCAAAGCTGGAATTACAGATGGGCTGTCCTGCAACCTGGCAGGTCCATGAGTTATGATTCTTATGTGTCACAGCAAGTTCAAGTGCCACTCTGACCATCTCCTTAGCCGGTGTTTGGTGCTTTGTCATATTTGCTGGTTGGTGTCTGCTTTCTGAAATGTAGCCTTCCTGGGTACACCAAAGCTATTCCCACTTAGTGTATTTGTCAGTGTGGCTGTGCTGCTGGGATGTCCAGTCATATCAATCATAGCTTTTGGTCCTACCGTCTCTGCAATGACAGCCCTGGCGCCTGCCATGTTTGAACAAGTCAGTGCAGTGATGCATGGAAGGGCAGGCCCTTCTTGAATGGGATCCCAAATATGAGCCTGTGAATTGTTAACCTCCCTGTCACCGTGAAGCTCAGTGCTAGTGCTGACCCTGTCTGTTCCACAAAGAGCCTCTCAGTGTCTCTCTCTAGCCTTCTTTCATGTTCTTGAAGCTGCATTGCTGCTCAGGTGTTGTGCTCCAGAGTCTCTCCTTCTGGCCATGTGACACACATCTTATAGTCTGTGACATCCTGCTTTGTTCAGAGACTCTTTGAAGACCTTGGGAAGGTCATCAGGTTGACTAGTTTATTGTGATCATCTTGTTTTCCTTGGAGCCTTTGTGTGTTATATGTGGTAATTCCTCCAGTCATTGTCCAGAAGCCTCACAGCAAAGCTGTCTGTCAGACCAGGGGCAGGTCTCTTTTCATGGCTGTGGGTGTGTGTGTGTGTGTGCATACGGAAGATGGTAATCAGGGTTTTGATGGTGCCCAGTGCTGTCACCTTGGAAAGCCCTGGGCTGCTTGGCTTTCATGGGGAGAGGGCAGAGCCCTGAGCTGATAATGTGGTTCTTGTTCTTCAGATCCGGAACATGGTTGCAGTATTGGAAGTGATCTCCAGTCTGGAGAGATACCCCATCACCAAAGAGGCACTGGAGGTAAGAGCCCTGGCCCAACCTTAGGCAGAATGGGAGATAAGGGTAGCCCCCAGCCAGCTTCTTCCTGTGGCTTAGGCTCTTGGAGTCCTTCAGGGGACCCAGTGGGCAGTGTATCCAGGACATCAGTCTTCCCACAGAACTCTTCAAGAATGAAGGTTTCTGATTTCACTGCTAGGCTCCTTCCCATACCCTGCACACCTCATAGCATTTTTGAGACATAGCTTGAGCTGTGCTTTATTTAGGCAACTGGTTGGTGGTCCCGTCCTTTATTTGGGGATCAGGTCTTAGGCTGTGAAACATGCTCACCCAGACACCCTGGCAGAGCAGCTGTGTGGCCGTGAAGGCACAGACTCTGCAGGTCTCAGGAGTCAGTGGACCTGCTCCTGAGGAATCCCCTGGGTTCCAAATCTAAGGATTCATGCTGCTACATAGTGCTGGACACACCCAAGCTGTATCTAAGGCAGTTTGGGGGCAGGTAGGGAAAAGGTAAACCAGGAAGGGTAAGCTTACTTACTGGCTTAGCTTCCTTGTCCTGCCGCTATGTTCTTATTCTCTAAGCATGTGTCACTCTCTTGGTTGTAGGAGACACGACTAGGGAAGCTCATCAATGATGTCCGCAAGAAAACTAAGAACGAGGAGCTGGCCAAGCGGGCCAAGAGGCTTCTGCGGAGCTGGCAGAAACTCATTGAACCCGTGCACCAGAATGAGGTGGCACTACGGGCACTGGCAGGAGCTGCAGGCTCTGCCAACGGGGGCGCACACAACTGCCGGCCAGAGGTGGGAGTGGCCAGCACACCCAAGAGCATCCATGACCTGAAGAATCGCAACGACATCCAGAGGCTCCCTGGGCAGCGACTAGACAGACTGGGTAGCCGTAAGCGCAGGGGGGACCAGCGTGATCTGGGCCACCCGGGGCCACCCTACAAAGTTTCCAAATCTAGTCCTGACCCACTAGTCCCCAATGCATCCCCTCTCCCCACTAACGGGATCAGTGGGAGCCCAGAGAGCTTACCCAGCCCTCTGGATGGTAGTGGGCACATGGGCTCTGATGGCAGCCGCCTGGAGCCCAGCGAGAACGAGAAGCACAGCACCAAGATCCCTGTGAACGCCGTGCGGCCGCGCCCCAGCTCCCCTGGCCTGGGCAAGCCCCCCGTGCCCTGCCTGCAGACCAAGACTGCGCAGTTGCAGCATCTGGACAGGGCAGATGAGCCGCCTGGCCCTCCCCATCCCAGGGGGGCCTCTCACTGCTCCTTCAGCCCCCGGAACTCACGGCACGAAGGCTCCTTTGCCCGGCAGCGGAGCTCGTACACAACGAAAGGCCCCTTGTCCAGCCCCTCCTCACGCCCCCAACCACTGGACACCATACAGGTGCCATCCCCACTCCCACTGGCCCAGCCATCCACGCCCCCTGTGCGGCGGATGGAGCTGCAGTCCAGCGCTGAGAGCCCTGTACACTGGCCAGAGCAGCCCGAGGGCCACCCTCGGCTAACAGGGCCATCCTGCAGGGTTGGGTTGTCGCCAGACTCTTCCAAGGCGGACAGTGATGCTGCCTCCTCGGGTGGCTCGGACAGCAAAAAGAAAAAGAGGTACCGACCTCGAGACTACACGGTGAACTTAGATGGGCAGGTGCCTGAGGCAGGCGTCAAACCTGTGCGGTTAAAAGAGCGGAAGCTCACCTTTGACCCCATGACGAGACAGATCAAACCTCTGACCCAGAAAGAGCCGGTGCGGGCTGACAGCCCCGTACCCACAGAGCAGCCACCTAGGACAGAACTGGACCAGCAGGAGGCCAAAGCCAGTCTCCAGAGTCCTTTTGAGCAGACGAACTGGAAGGAGCTGTCGCGCAACGAGATCATCCAGTCCTACTTGAGCCGCCAGAGCAGCTTGTTGTCATCGTCTGGTGCGCAGACCCCAGGCGCGCACCACTTTATGGCAGAGTACCTGAAGCAGGAGGAGAGCAGTCGGCGAGGAGCCCGCCAGCCTCATGTGCTGCTGCCGCTGCCTATGCCCACTGACCTCCCCGGGCTCACTCGGGAGGTCACACAGGACGATCTGGACAGAATCCAGGCCCAACAGTGGCCAGGGGTGAACGGGTGTGAGGACACACAGGGTAATTGGTATGACTGGACGCAGTGCATATCGCTCGACCCACATGGCGACGATGGGCGCTTGAACATTCTGCCTTATGTCTGCTTGGACTGAGCACTTGGCCTGGTCATCAAGTGCATTCTCACCTTGCAGGGGCTAGGCTGGCCAGCTGGGAGGGCGGGCATGAGGCTCGCTCTCCACCCTCCTTTTGTGAAATGCTGCTACCAGTTTACTAACGATTGCAAAGGAAGGGCCGCTCAGAGGGCAGACGGCAGAGGGAGTTCAGAACTCTATAGCAAGCCAGCTATAAAGCGTTAGTCCCCCCACCCCAGAAGAGGTGCGAAGCACCGAAGGCGGGGACCTCAGTGGCAGGCAGGCACAGGAACCCTGTGGGAGAGGTTACCTTAACAGCAACAGACGCACATATCATCTCTGCATCTCCTGCTCTTTGGCTCTGGTGTCTCTGAGGTTCAGGCCACTTCTCCGGCCTCTGTCAAGCCAGTGTTTTCTTTCCTTCGTGTTGTGTGCTAGAAGCTTCTCTGCTGTGGTGAGCCCTGGCATTGGGCGGGTGGGCCAGCTTCACCCACACTGCACAGATGCCCACCCATCTGTATATGGTTTCAGTTCTTAAAGAAATGCTGCAGAAACTTCAGTTTTCTCATTTATTTCATCCTTTTTTCCACCTGACCACCAGCCAAATGACTTTTCCTTTCTTTTTTCCTCTTCACATCTCTAGAAAATGCCATCTTTCTAGAGCCCTCAACCCACAAAGTTCCCGAGGGTGCTACTGGCGTGAGTTGCCCTGCTGGGCGAGGGGAATGCCGTCTGTTCGCTGGAAACACTCATAACCATTCCTTTAGATTCGTTTGCCTTATGGTTGTCATAAACGCGATTTGCAAAAACAAGGAGCCTTAGTGAATGTACAGTACCTAGACTTCTGCGTCCGCGCAGAAGGGAGCAACTTTGCTATTTGGTCCAGTAAGTGGACACCTTGTGATATAAATGTGGAAATAAAAAAAAAAACATTTGCACAAACCCGTTTTTGAGCCATTTCTCATTTTATACTTGATCTTTTTCTGGAGCCCACAGCCACACCCAATGTTCCCAGTCTTGGTGGTATCCCATTTTAACTTGCTTCTGTGGCAGCAGGCAGGCCCCTCCTACCTGCCTTTCATTCATTTGGGGTCAACCACATCACCCACCCAGAGAAGCCCCCTTCTGTAGGCCGTGTAGCTGGTGACACCTTCCCTGCCCACCAGTACTTTGTGACATGGCAAGGCCCTGAGCAGCGCTACGGCTAAGTGCACTAGAACTATCTAGTTTTCTCCTCTCCCTGAAATCAATAAGCCATGATTAGGTTTCCAGGTTTGTTTTCTTTTCATTGAGATAGACATCTGTTTAATTTCATAGATGAGCAGACACAGTTACCCATAAAACAGCTGCGTGGGGTCAAGTTCTAGAACATTCCGATTTTTAGGATCACAGCCAACCCATAATAACGGGTTTTTTTTTTTTGTTGTTTAGTTTTGTTTTTTGTTTTGAGAGCCAGTACGGATTTACAAGGCTTGGTGCAGGATGGTACCACTCCCATTAAAGGCCCATTTGAGGAGGTGAAACCCAGCTGTGTGGCCCTGGGCCTCTGGGCCAGTGTTCACTCGTGAGCGCATGTTCCTGTTGTGAGATGAAAAGGCCTTCACAAAGTTGCCAGGGCCAAATCCAATAGGAGATAAAAGCAACCAAAACCCAGTTGGTGACGAAAGGCTGTGTACCCAGCTGGAGGGCATTAGGGTACGGTACAGAGGCTAGCGTCCTGTCACCGGCTTCTTGTCTCAGACCCGGGCTTTGAAACAAGCCCTTACTACTCGGATCCCAAGGCGCAGGGACTGCCACACCTGTGTTGAGTATCCAGCAAGCCCCAGGGGGGTACACATGCGCTACCTTGAGAACAGGGATGAGCTACAAACACACCTCCGACACTCAGGCAGCCGAGTTGGGCTGCCATTTTCTAAACTGCTAATAAAGACACTGTAAAGGAGAAAGTCGAGGTCGGTGAGGTGACTAAGCAGATACACGGTTGCTGTGAAGGCAGAGAACAGGAGTTGGATCTCCTGAACCCACCTGGTGGAAGGAGACAACAGACTCAAGTCCTCCTCTGACCCCACCCTCTCACACACATGAATGAATACATTTTTAAGGGACCGGAACAACTCCCACAGCCACTTGAAAGCACACTATCTTCGGAATCGAGTTTTGTCGCTAGGATGACGGTGCTGAAGTCTTGTCCTGCCTCGGGGCTCTCGCCAGCAGATTCAGCCCGGCCGGAGGGCTCTGCAGACAAGTGTCGCAGGAAGCACTCCGCCCTGGGTTGTCAGGGGAGGGTGACACCTACCGCGCAGCTTCCGAGGACCGGCGTCCTCCGGAGGCTCGGCTTCAGCCGGCTTCTTTTCTCCTGAAAGATTCTTTTGTTAATCCGGTTCGGGCCCTAGGCATCCCGCTTTCCCAGTGGGCGGGCCCGCGTGGCCCCGCCAGCCACGGGAGCGCGCCTTAGCGCTTCGCGCACGCGCGGCGCACACAGCGCGCCTTCCGGAAACCTTCCAAGTGGGGTGGGGCCCTCGCCGGAGACGTGGTTGCGGGCGCGTCGGCGGGCGGGCGGTGATGACGCGAGGGAGACAGCCAATGGCGAGCGGCGATGACGCGCAGGCCCGGAGGCCAATGGTGATCGGCCCCTGCCGGCGCTCCCGCCCCCGACCGCGTCGGGCGGTCGTCCGGCGGGAAGGGGGCGGCCGCTTGGGCAGGATGGCGGCGGCGGCAGCCGCGGGTCCCGGCGCGGGCGCGGGGGTCCCGGGCGCGGGGGGTGGCGGCGGGGCGCGCGAGGGCGCGCGGGTGGCGGCGCTGTGTCTGCTGTGGTACGCGCTGAGCGCGGGCGGCAACGTGGTCAACAAGGTGATCCTGAGCGCCTTCCCATTCCCGGTCACCGTGTCGCTGTGCCACATCCTGGCGCTGTGCGCCGGGCTCCCGCCGCTGCTGCGCGCCTGGCGCGTGCCGCCCGCGCCGCCCGTGTCGGGTCCCGGCCCCGGCCCGCACCCGACGTCCGGCCCGCTGCTGCCGCCGCGCTTCTACCCGCGCTACGTGCTGCCGCTCGCCTTCGGCAAGTACTTCGCGTCGGTGTCGGCGCACGTTAGCATCTGGAAGGTGCCGGTGTCCTACGCGCACACCGGTAGGTGCGGACGCGGGCCGGGGCGCACTGCCTGGGGCTTCGAAGTATGGGTACGAGTTCGCGGGCCGTCAGACTGAGACACCGCCAAGGCGCGGCCGAGTCTCAGGTTGGAAAAGGTCGGAGGAGTTAACCGCGCGAGTGAACTGACTCCAGCTATTGGGGTCGGTAGAAAGCCTTACAGAGAGAGAAGGTCGGCGTCGGGTGTACAGGCTGCAGGGACTGCCCGCTGAGTGCTTTTCCTCTCTTTGCAGTCAAGGCCACCATGCCCATCTGGGTGGTCCTCCTGTCTCGGATCATCATGAAGGAAAAACAGAGCACCAAGGTAACCCGGGCAGAAACCCTGGGCAGGGCGGGATTCCCGGTAACTGGCTAGGTTGATGACGTGGTTGGACCGTGGCAGTCCTCGAGCTTCCTGTCAAATAAGGAAGTCAAGGTGTCAGCCCCTTGGGCTTTCCCCAGTGTCCCACACTCATTTCAGACAGCAGGTGTGTGGGAAGGGGAGATGTCCTCTTACTTATTGTCCCCAAGTGCCACGGCCCTCCAGGGTCCCTTCTTCCTGTTTTGATTCCCTCTGCTGGTTTGTTGATTGATGATGCCTATTGGGTCCCGTTTTGGCAAGTCACCAAGGAACAAACTAAGTTGAGACAGGTTTTCCTTCTCTTTAAACTAAATTTATCTGTGTGTGTATGCTGTGCCTCAGTATGTCTGCGAAGCTCGGAAGACAGGAGTCCATCTCATCTTTCCATACAAGTTACCAGGCTTGGCGGAAAGGGCCCTTACTTGTTGAGCTATCGTGAAAGAATCGTCGGTGCTGGACAGCTGGATCTGATGTGAGATGCCAGGCCAGAGGAGTTTGATGGTGGCAGAATCCAGCCAGTTCTTAGAAATTAAAACTTTGAGGAGCCTAACATGGTATGATGGGTCTGTCATGCCAGTACTCAGGATGCTGAGGCAGGAGGATGGAGAAGTCCAGGATAGCCTAGGCTACAGAGCTCAACTTCGTCTCAAAAAGTCTCGGAGCTGGTCATGGTGGTCCACACCTTTAATACCAGAACTAGGAAGACAGAGGCAGGTAGATCTCTATAAGTTTGAAGCCAGCCTGGTCTACATAGTGAGTTCCAGGACTCTGCAGAGACCCTGTCTCCAACAAAAAGAAAGAGAGAGAGAGAGAGAGAGAGATAGGGAGGGAGGTTGTAGCTCAGCATGGAGCCTTTACTGAGACCTCACAGGACAGGGTTTTGCCGCTTGTTTAAACCAAGGTTGTGATGATCTGGGCCACACAGGGCACCCAGGGCTTAGGGCTGCCTGGGAGATGCCAGTGTCCCAGCTGGAAGCCATCTCACCCTGTTCTACAAATGTTCATTTTCTATATATGTCCTATAATTGGTTTAGCTCAGAATGGCTTCCCCCTGAATCACTGTGTAAAAACTGGGCCACCTCTGACTGAGTTTTGTCCTCGGGCCCATGTTCATCCTGGCCAGCCCTGTCTGTACTCTGCAGTCTCCATTCACGGTGACATCAAGTGGGGCTGGCCTCCTGGAGTGAGTTGCTGGGGAGGCAGCCAGGTGTGTCACCTGATAACACACCTTGTGTTTATCAGTTTTCCTTGTCACTGGGAACATTGTACAAGTGCAGGTCCTAGAGACTGGCCCTCTTGGGCAGAGACCTGCCCTGCAAGGCAGATAACTCGGGCCTCTGAATTCCTGTTCTCAAGGGAAGATGCAGGATGCTGACAGGGCGAGTGGACCATGGCCAGGAGTGCAGGGGCAGGCGTCCAAGTCTCAGTGAGGACAGAACCCTCTGCTGCTAAAAGCCTAGCCTGTCTTGCTTTGTTTTTACACATTTTGTGGAGACGTGAGTCCACATGGAGATTAGGGAACAGCTTGAAGGAGTTGGTTCTTTACCCACAAGGAGTTCTGGAGTTTTATGTACTGAGCCCACTAACTGGGCCTCGATTCAGTTTTTGATACAAAAATCTCTGACTGGAAATCCACCTGGCTTCCTACCTTGCTGGATTTTGTTTGTTCTTAGAAACGGGATTTGAAAGTAGCCCGAGCTAGCCTCCTTTTTTCCCCATTTATTTATGTATTTGCCTGTCTGTGTGGAGGTCAGATGGTAGCTTTCGGGAGAGTCAGTTCTTCCACCGTGTGGGTCCTGGGCATCAAGCTCAGGTGTCAGGCATGGCAGCAAGTGCCTTTCTCTTCAGCCATCTCACCAGCCCCAGCCCCAGACTCTTGGTGATCCTCCTGCCTCAGCTTCCTGGGTGCCAGGATGCTGGGATGAAGATGGGGTCCTCCAGGTGAGGGATAGGCCACCTGAGGTTTCCTGTAGTTCTGAGTGGTGGGTAGCCCTAGCCCAGCTGAGCTCCTCTGCCCCCCCTGCAGGTGTACCTGTCACTGGTCCCTATCATCAGTGGAGTCCTGCTGGCCACTGTTACAGAGCTGTCTTTCGACGTGTGGGGGCTGGTCAGTGCCCTGGCAGCCACGCTCTGCTTCTCCCTTCAGAACATCTTCTCCAAAAAGGTGTGTGCTCCCGCTATGCTGCATGCCTACAGGGGCCAGAGCAGACGGCCGGGCAGACCCTCCTGTGCCTTCTGTCTGCCTGAGTCTCTGTTCCTTCTCTTGTTTTGAGAGCCGGCCCTAACCTAACCCACTCTGCTGATCTCTTGTGTTCCTTTTTCTTTACAAGTCTTCTTGTTACACTTTGTTTACATACTTAGTGTGTGTGTGCAAGGGCACTGCCATGGCCTGACTGTGGAGGGCAGAGAACAACTTGCAGAAGTCAGTTCTTCCTCCATGTGGGACCTGGGCATTGAACTCAAGTCCTCAGGCTTGGTGACAAGCCTTTACCCATTGATCCATCTTGCCAGCCCTTCCACATTATTTCCCACTAAACCTGCCACCACCACCCATTTTGTCCCATGAGCCCCTGGGATCTGCCTGCAGTCCCCACCACCAAGTGCTTGATTTGCACACACTTAACACGATAGCCCACTTCTATGTGGGTGCTAGGGATCTGAGCTCAAGTCCTCATGCCTGAGCCATCTCCCCAGCCCTCCTTTTCTTTCTAGGAACGTGTATGCTGAGCATGCCTCTGAGGTGTGGTCACTGACCCCATCTTGTCTGGCTGCTCAGTGGTTACTGTGTGGTGTCACCCTGCTGCAAAGCTCAGCCATGGCTGCAGCTCAGGGCTGCTGGGTGCTACCTTCAGCACAGAGAGTCTCCTTGTTAGGAATGTGACTTATTTTTAACCTGTTGTAAGAAATACATCTGTGAACCTCTGCAGAACGTGCTGCTGGGTGCTTGGGTTAGGACATCCCCCTGCTGTAGACCATGGTCTGCGGTAGGATCTGTTTTTGGCTTTTGCCTGGCACTGCCTGGTGGGAATCAATAGGCTAAACCAACCTGCACTCAACTCAGAGGGATATCAGCCAGGCATGATAGTACCCGCCTGTCACAACCATGTGTAGAATGAAGTCAGGATCGCTATGAGTGTGGCCAGCCTAGGCTACGGATGCAAATAAAAAAATAGCGGGGGAGGGGGGCTTCAGAGTACCTGGCTCACCGCACCCTCCCCAGCCTGTGTGCTGCTGGGTCAATTCTGTTCTTCTGTCGGCCCTCGCCCATAGGACAGCACTTTGTCCAGGCATGGCTGTGTTCCTTCCTAAGCAAGCAAGCCCGTCTGATACCCAGTCTTGGATATCGGATTCCAGTCTCACTGGGGGCCGGAAACCTTGTTGCTGGTCAGGTGTCAGCGACTCTAATGAGGTGCTCTCCCCTCAGGTGTTGAGGGACTCCAGGATCCACCACCTGCGACTGCTCAACATCCTGGGCTGCCACGCCGTGTTCTTCATGATCCCCACGTGGGTTCTCGTGGACCTCTCCACCTTCCTGGTCAGCAGCGACCTGGTGAGTTGATCTGCTGGGAATGTGTGTGTCTTCACTAGCATGTGCTGAGCATGTGCTGCTTTGGGCACTGCAGCCGTGTGTTCCTCCTGGACACTCTTGAGCATCTGTCTGTGCTGGTCTGTCTTCTGTCCCTGTAGGCAGGCTAGTTTATAAGAACATAGGAATCTTTAGGTCTCAGGTCTGGATACTGAATGTCCAGCATGGAGTATGTTCTTCCGAGGGCTCCTGCCATGTCCTGTGACACTGCGTGAGAGTGACAAGAGCATGTGTGGGAGGGAGAAACCAATCTCAAACCAAGAGCCTGAGGACCAGGCTGACAGAGCCCCTGAGATGGTGGCTCGGGGTTTCTGGGTTTCTGTCGGCGTGCTTGGCCCTGATGCGTGGGAACTGTGCTGAGCACAGCGGTGTCACGCTCTGACACTGCTGGAGTGCGTCCAGAAGGGATTCACACTTGTATTTTCAGTATTTAAGTCTCCTTAATTCAAAAACCTAAGTCCAAATGGACTAAAACCCAAACTCTGTGAGCAGCTGTAAGAACTAGAGTCCTGGGAAGGAGAGGCTGGCCCCATTGCTGTCTTACACACAGCCACGGCACGCTGGAGACGTCGCTCTGGAGTGCATACACTTACCTGTGTACACACACATGCTCTTTCTAGTGGGGCACTGGTCACAGTCTAGAGCTGACCAATGTGGAAGTATTGGTCCCCGCCAAAAGCTGCTAGAAAGCGGAGGCTCCACCTGGTAGGCGGAAGTGAGGAACTGGGAAATAGCCTTGCGGTGAGGGGGACTCTTTCTTCTCCTCTGCCTTTGCTTCCTTAGTGAAGTCATTCCTGCTACAAAAAGCCAACAGGTTCTGAGCTGCATGTCAGGACTGTGCCTCGGGGCTGGCTATGGCCAGGACAGCACTTGCCCTTGACCCCTCAAGGCCTAGGCTCCACTCAACACGACACACAAAACAAGGGACACTTACCTTCTCATCCCAGCACGCAGGAAGCAGAGACAGGAGGATCAGAATTCAGTCATCCTTGGCTACATTGCAAGTTTGAGGACAATCTAGGCTACATGAGACCCTGTCTAAAAAGAAAAGGAAATCCTGGGCAGCAGCTAGTGGGACCTGTGAGCACTGCCCCACACAGCGTCCCGGAGACTGGGTGGACTTGTGGGCCAGGGCACTGTTGGACAGTGAACACTAAACACAGAGCTTCGGAAGAGGCTTTTACCATGGTCGCCATGGGCTGCTGGAGTTTGAAGCCCAGTAGCCTTCTGTACAAGACTCCAGGAAGGGCCAATGTCTTCTGCTGTGTTGTCCTGGGCATGCTCCATCCTTAGCACATGATGGAGGGAGTGAGCCAAGTCCTACAAACCATCCACTGACTTGCCCCGTGGCACACGTTGTCCACATGCATACACCATGATGTTTTAAAATACTCGAGTGGTGTCTCCCCAGTACTTGGGCACGTATGTGGGAGGACCAAGACCTTAAGTCATCCACAGCTACATAGGCCAGCCTGGGCTACATGAGACTGTAATTCCCTATCTGGAGAAAGAGACCTTCCAGACCCTCTGCGCTGAACCGTCTTTCCTGAATGAGCATAGCTCCTACCCCTCAAGGCAGAAGCCTCTTCACACCAACTGGAACCCATCACAGCCAGCCACAGCTGGACAGTGGGGATCAGCAGATGTGGGAGCACAGCCCCAGTGATACGCCCTCATCCCAGCTCCTGCATCCCAGCTCCTGCATCCCAGCTCAGAGAGCATCTGCTTAGAGGGGCTGGGAAGATCCTCAGAGCCAGAATCCCAGGAAGTCCACTGTGAAGCAGTCTCCCTAGGAACGGCTGCATAAACAAGACGGGGACAATATCAGCGGACTTGCCAATCTGGAAGGGAGAAAATCTCACAGGGTCTACCCCAGACAAAGAACTACAGGCCACTAACGACTGCTGGGAGAGGGAGAGTTAGCCTTTCCCAGGAGGAGGACCCTGGCTGTCCAGTGCAGGGTGGTCAGCTCTGAAGCCATACACACAGACAATGAAAACAGGCTCAGCAGGTTGTGTGTATACATGTGTGTTCACACATGCACGTGTGTGACAATAAAGAAAAAGGCTGTTAACTCGGGGTGCCTGCAAGGGGCTGGCAGGAAGAAAGGGATAGGAGAAGTGATGCACTTTTATTTCAGTTAAAAACATTTTTAAGAAGGAAAAAAAGAACTCGAATGGAAATCTTAGAATGGGAGCACAGCGCCTCTGAGATGCCCGTACTGTGGTGACACCAGTGGGTCGGCAGAGATTGGCCCGTGCGCTATAGGGCAGTGCCTGTGATCCCATCCTCAGCCATGATGTAGAAGATTGCCAGAGAGTGAGGGCAGCCTGGGCTACATGGCGAGTTACCGCGAACTGGAAACAACCTACAACAACTGAGAAAAAGCTGGTATTGCCATGAAATGGAATATTACCTAGCAGTGAAGAATATCCTCTTGTTTCTCACAGCCCAGACTAGTGTCAGGCTGAATGGAAAATGCCTGGCTCTGTGTTCTATGATTTTTTTTAATTTATTTATTATATATACAATATTCTGTCTGTGTGCATGTCTGCAGGCCAGAAGGGGGCACCAGACCTCTTTACAGATGGTTGTGAACCACCATGTGGTTGCCGGGAATTGAACTCAGAACCTTTGGAAGAGCAGGCAATGCTCTTAACCACTGAGCCATCTCTCCAGCCCTCTGTGATTGTTTATCAAAACAGTATGCTAGGGACAAACTCCATTGCAGTTGCCAGGTTTAAGGAGAGGGTGGATGCTGAGGAGCCGGAGGGCATTTTGTCAGGAAGCCATCCAGGGCCCCAGTTGTGGCTCACTGTACATCCTCCCTGGGCTGGCCACTCAGTTCTCCAAACACATAAATCTGTGAAACTGCCATGTCTAGGCCTCCTGGGAGCAGAGCAGCACCCCCTGAGTGACCCCAGCGAACTCCTACCCAGCCAGGGCCTTGGGGCTTTTGACTTGGGTGCAGCAATTCCCATCCCCCAAAAAGCTTTATTACGGAAACAGGAAGTGCATCCAGTTTCCGCTCCTTGCAATTTTTCTTCTCTTCCTTTAGGATGTGTGAGTGTGTGTGTGTGCATATATTTGTGTGAATGTGTGTGTGTGTGTACTAGCTCAGCCTCCTGCACCTTCCTCAGTAGCTCCCCCTTGTCTTGCTGATGGAGGATCTCATTGACTGGCTGCCAAGCCTCAGGATCTGCTGTTTCTGTCCCCAAGCTTCCTGCCTCTAGCAGTGTGCTCTGTATATGTGTAGCTGCATGGTTTCTCTTGTGTTTTGTTTTGTTTGTTTTTCACATGGGTGCTGGGGTCTGAACTCAGACATTTTCCTGACTGAGCTGTCTGTCTTCCCAGCCCACCGTTGGTGTTTTTGAGACAGGATCTAGGTCCTGTATTATGTGGCCTAGGGTGACTTCAAACTCCTGATCTTCCTGTGTCTAGCTCCTGAGTGCTGGAGTAGAAAGTGTGCCCACCATGCCTGGATTGGAAGCTCAGTATGATTTGGTTGACTCCATGGGTTACTCTTGTGGGTCTTCCTTCCCCTGGTGTCTCCCTGGCATGCCTGCTAACCACCATGTTCAGAGAGGGTCCGGCTGGAACTTGTGGCTGCCACAGGATGGCTGGAAACTGACAGCAGGGCAGGAAGATGGGTGTGAGGGCTGTCTGAGGAAGCTGATGCCCAGGACTGTCCCGTGTCCTAGCTGGGCTGCTGCATTCTCCTGGCACCTGTCCGAGAATGGGTGGTGGGTTCAGGGGCTCTGTGTCCCTCTCTCTGGAAGGTGACAGTAGTTGATAATGTCACCCATCTCCTCAGGTCCTTCTGGTTTGATACTTTCACTTCCATTTGGTTTGGGGTTTGGGTGCTGAAACGCATGACGTCATTCGTGCTCAGCACATGCCCCACCACCCCGCTGTGTCTGTGCTCCAACTGTAGAGAATGCTTTGGAGGGGAGAGCTATGCGATGGCTCAGTGGGGAGACTGCTTGCTGTGCACCAGGAGGCAGGGGAGATCCCTGCAGTAAGCTGCACCCTGCCACACACACACACAATTTTGGTGGCCTTTAGATGAAAAATTAATAGATGTTATGTGTATGGGTGTTTTGTCTGCATGTATGTCCATGTACAACATGTGTGCCTGATGTCTTCAGAGGTAAAAAAGAGGGCATGTGATCCCCTGGACTAGTATTACAGACAATTGTGATCCTCTATGTGGGTGCTAGGAATCTAATCGGAAAAGTACTCTTAACTGACAAGCCATCTCTGCAATCCTTTGGTGGCTGTTTTTGCATCTCTGACAAGATACCCTCAACCACTGCACCATGGAGTGTCAGAGATCATGTTTAAACTGGTAAAATGGCTCAGTGGTACAGTAAAGGCATTTGTTACCAAACCTGTCATCCATCAGTTTGAGGCCAACCTGGGCTACGTAAGATTCTGTTTCAAAAAAAAATCTAACCACCTGCTGCACATGGTGACAGTCTGCCTAAATACATATGTGCCCCTCCCCTATTGATGCTTCCTACCTGTCTCCATAGGCCTATGTGTCTCAGTGGCCCTGGACACTGCTGCTCTTGGCAGTCAGTGGATTCTGCAACTTTGCACAGAATGTCATCGCCTTTAGTATCCTCAACCTCATCAGCCCACTCAGCTACTCAGTGGCCAATGCCACCAAGAGGATCATGGTCATCACTGTGTCCCTCATCATGCTACGCAATCCAGTGACCAGCACCAATGTGCTAGGCATGATGACTGCCATCCTGGGGGTCTTTCTGTACAACAAGGTGAGCATTAGGGGCCACTGTCCGCCAGCCAGGCACAGCCTAGGGGAAGGACAAGAAGGAGCCAAGGAGAGTTATTCTGGCTCTGGGTTCCAAAGGTGCCTTACAAGGTGGGTGGGGTTTGTGTGCTGCATAAAACATACCCTCCTGCATCTGTCCTGAGCTCTGTCACGGGTGCACAAGACCTGAAGCTTCCTTGTGTCTTACTGTTTGTTTTGGAGCAGAGGCTTGTGTAGCCCAGAAAGGCTTTGAGCTTCTGACCCCTGACCCCCAACACACACACACCTCCCAAGGGAGTGGAAAGACAGGTGTCTGTTCCATCTGGTTTATGCAGCGCTGGGGTGGAACCCAAGTCTTTGTGCATGCTAGACAAGCGTTCTACCACAGAAGCATCTCTTGTCCTTGGTTTTGGGGTTACCTCTTTGTTGGTGGTGGTATTTTGTTTTGTTTCAGTTTGATATTTTTTTTTTTTTTTTTTAGGATCTCATGATGCCCAGGCTGGCCTCAAGCTCACTGTGTAGCCTAGACTGGCCTGATACCCTTGCCCTTCTGCCTCTACCTCCTTAGTGCTGGGGTGACACTCCCCCACCCACCCAAAGTTCCCTTGTGCCTCATTACTCTCTCTTCACACAGACCAAGTATGACGCGAACCAGCAGGCTCGGCGCCACCTCCTCCCTGTCTCTACGTCAGACCTGAGCAGCAGAGAGCATCTGCGGAGCCCAATAGAGAAGCCCCACAATGGTGCACTGTTTCCTCAGCAGGGTGACTTCCAGTATCGCAACATTCTCCTCACAGACCATTTTCAGTATGGCCGCCAGAGCCACCCGAACTCCTATGCCCTCAGCCGCCATGACGTGTAGGTGTCATCAGGCCAAGCTTCCTGCACCACCTCTGTAAGCCCAGCAGCCTGGCTGAGCACGTAGCAGACCAGCAGGGGAGCCCTAGAGCCTGATGGGCTGTGGGACATGACCACAACATGGATGGCCACAGGCTCTGATCCTGGTTCACTCTTCTGCTCAGAGGCCATGCTCTGCTTTGGTGCACAGAGGTGCCCCCAGTACATGGCAGAGGTCTGATCTGAACTTCTGGTGACAACAGGGAGCCACTCTGCAGAACTGGCATTGCTGTGCCTGCAGTCCTGGAAGCTAGCAGGAGGTGGCATCTGGGGCTTCAAGGAGAGGACAGCGGGGCTGTAGTCCAGAGGTATGGAGAGCTGACACAGGTGCCATTATGTGTCCTCAGCAGCAGTGCTCCAGGATGCTCCACGGCAGTATGCCACTTGTACTTTAGTGCTGCTGACGTGGGTGCCTACAGTGACCATCGGTTCATCAGTGATCGGTGTGGCCTTCCCCTGCCTGTGAGTGTCAGAGCAGGACACAGCCCTTCACTCCCGGTCTGAGTGGCCCTTGGACTCCAGAAGGGGTGGCCAGTGTTAACCTTGGTTGCACCCACACCCTTCTGATGTTACAGAAGGCAGGATGATGGTGATGGCAATTTCCCCAGAACCTCAAGTTTCCCTGGAGAAGCTTTGGAGCCTAGGTCCCGGCAGGCACTGCACCAGGCTAGCCAGTGGGTGGAAACCATCTTGATTCATTTCAAAATGTGGGATGTTTGTTACTGGAGCAGTCCTTTGGAGCTCAGTGGTAGCAAAGTAATGCTGAAACATCTTGAAGCTGCAGCCAGAGTAGCAGAAGATGAAATCTACACTCCAAATATAGTGTCGCTTGTCAGTGAGGAAATGTCCAGCGGATGGGACAGCCGGACGGTCTTAAGTTTTTACTTAAGAGTCAGTTGAGGCTGGGATGGCAAAGTGCCTGCTCCGCATGCATGTGTTGGTGGCTTTGTTCTCGAGCATCACAGAAAGCAACATAGTGGTGCGGGCCTACCTTTCCAGCACTCGGAAGCAAGGTCAGGGTCCTCACCTACATAGTTCCAGACCAGCCTGGACCACATGAGAGCCTATCTCAAGAAAAAGATCGGTTTTAGGGACCTGGCCTGCTGGAATACATCCAGGGGTTGAGCCTGGAGGATGGACACGAGTTTGAAGCCAATCTGGGCTACATAATGAGACTGTCTCAAAAACAAAACGTTTGGGGACTCATCCTGGTGACCTACTCCTATGGTCCTAGCTGCTCAGGAAGCCAGGGCAGGAGGGTCTCCCAAGCCTGTGAATTCAAGGCCAGTGTGGCAATGCAAGGAGAACCTTTTGGTTCACAGAAATATGGGTTCTGGTGTGGGCACAGCAGACCAATGGTGGTACCCAAGGATTGTGACATGTTTTCTTTGGCAATCAAGGCACTAGTTTTGGGTTTTTTTGTTTGTTTTTGTTGTTGTTATTGTTTTTGAGACAGGGTCTCATAATATAGATCATGCTGACCTCGAACTCAGAGATCTCTGTCCCTGCCTCTTGAGTGCTGGAATTAAAAGCATGTGCCACGACGCTCACCTGGAGACATCCCCACTAAGGCTCCCGGACTGATCTTCAACTCTTAGCTTTCTTCTTAGAGTCCTTCATGCCTCTGTCTCCATCTCTAAGCACTTAGCTGACAAGTGTGTCATAGCGCCCTAGTCCTTAACTCCTGGTTTGTTGGGTACTTGTGCTTTTGATTAATTGGAGGGTTTTTTTTGTTTTGTTTTGTTTTTTTGGTTTTGGTTTTTGTTTTTTTTGAGACAGGGTTTCTTTGTAGCTTTGGAGCCTGTCCTTGAACTCACAGAGATCCGCCTGTCTCTGCCTCCAGAGTGCTGGGATTAAAGAAGTTTTCCACCACCGCCCTGTCCAGATTAATTGGGGTTTTATATCTGAGGTTAGTTCATTCACAATGCCAGCCTCAGGGCAGTTCCATCTGCCTTGCTTGCTGGATTGCAGATGTTCAGAGCCCATCACCACAGTGGGAAGGGCACCTTTATAAGGTGGTCTGGTGGGTTTCCTCCCTGGGGAAGACCCTGAGACCTGGCACTACAGAAGTCTCTGTGGGTGTCCCTGATGCTGTGTTGAACTCAGAATGAATTATGTCTTTTTGGATTTCCATGATGTTTCTGTAATATGTGTATTAATGCATTTTCCTTTTCCAGTGTGAGGTTTGCCAACGAGGGAAAGGCCATCTCACTTTTCTTACAGTTTATAAATTAATAAATGGGATATTCAATTCTGTTCATAGGCTCTCAGTGAGTAAGAACACTAGAATGGATGCGATAATCAGGTAGACCAGGTGGCTGCGGCTCCGTGGATGCGGTACTCAAACCTGTGCATGAAGCCCTGGGCTCCATCCTCAGCATCACATAAACTGATGGTGGTGCATACCTGTTACCCACACTCAGGAGGCTGAGGCAGTTAAGAGCAGGAGTTCATGGTCATCTCTGGTAACATAGCCCATGGTTTACCTTGGCCCATTCAGTGTCACATTAGCTCCCTAGTCTTACTCGCCCATCATGGTCACCTCTCTTCTGGGATTCATGTTAGAGAAATTTTGTTGCTCTTTCCATATACCCTTTAAATGGCCGAAACACTTATCCTGGCTCACCCGACTCCTTCATTTTGCAGAAGGGGAAACAGGCTTAGAATGGTTTCGAATGTCTGTTCACTATAGAATACTCAAGTGGAGCTTCTTGTAGTTGTTTATTTCTGTGAGATGGTGGCTGCCTGTGTGGCTCAGGCTGACCACAGGATAGAGGGCAGTCCTCGGTCCTCAGTCTCGGTGCTAAGGTGACGCAGGACTGCCACACCCTGCACCTTATTTTACACCGTTTATTCTAGGGAAGGAGATGAGCTGAATCTATTGAGGCAGGGAAGTACTTGAGACTCAATTTCCCTGTGTGTTGGAAGGACTCCGGGCTCCCAAACCTCTGGGTCTGAAATGCAAAACTGTCATGTTCTTGTTTTCCGTTGTCGTCATCCTGAGGCTCCAGTGTCATAGACTGTTCTGTGGATTGCTATTCACCAAAAATAAACGATGGTCTCCAGGGGCTTGAGATTGGATCTGGTTTGTCAGGGAAGGTTTCCTTGTGCTCCCAGAAGCATAAGATGCAAGGAGACTGAAAATCCAGGGTAGGGAAATGGGTTGTGCAGCCCTTGCATGGCAGGGATGGAAATCAGAATTGGGACTCGTGCCCCACTTGCCATCGTAGTGCAAGGGAAATGGAGCCAGGGTCATCGGAGCAAGCTGACTGTTGACCAGCTCCAGGCTCATCGGAGCAAACTGACTGTTGACCAGCTCCAGGCTCAGCCGGGGGCTCTGGGACCCACATGGTAGGAGAGAACCGATTCCTGCAAGTTGTCCTCTAGCCACATATATACTGTGGCATGCACACACACACAGAAATACTCTGAATAAATAAATACTTTAAAACTTTGAATGTGTGTAGAACAGTTAGGGGAGACACCTAATAGCAATTTCCAGTTTTTGCAAGTAAAAGCATATGTACGCTCCTGTATATATACATGGTCACCTACATGCAAACAAATAACATGTACACAAACCACATATGTATGCAAGGCATTTCCTTAGATAGCCTTATGTTTTGAGACAGGGCCTCACTCTGCAGCCCAGGCTGACCTCAGATTCATGATCCTTTTCCTCAGCCCCAGGGTTAGTTGCTGCTGTGTACTTGGCACCTGGGCCAGCAAGCCCCATGGCTCCTCCTGCCTCTACCTCCCAGCACTCCTGGCTTTTTATGTGGGTGCTGACAGTTTGAACTCGGGTCCTCATGCCTTTGTAGCAAGCACTGGCTGCTCCCTGAGTTTGATTCCCAACATCTACATGGTGGCTCACAACCTTCTAACTCCAGTTCCATGTGACCTTTTGGGCTCTGGGCACTGCACACATGGGGTATATAGACATATATGCAGGCAAACACCCATATACATAAAATCTTTAAAAATACAGGATCAGGGGGCTGGAGAGATGGCTCAGAGGTTAAGAACACTGGCTGTTCTTCCAGAGGATCTGGGTTCAATTCCCAACACCCACATGGCTGCTTACACCTGTCTGTAATTCCAGTTCCCGGGGATCTGATATGATACCTTAACACCAATTCACATAAAAAATACAGGATCAGCGGGGCGGTGGTGGCGCATGCCTTTAATCCCAGCACTCGGGAGGCAGAGGCAGGCGGATCTTTGTGAGTTCGAGGCCAGCCTGGTCTACAAAGGGAGTTCCAGGACAAGCTCCAAAGCTACAGAGAAACCCTGTCTCGAAAAACCAAAAAAGAAAAAAAAAATACAAAGCTGGGCGATGGGGCGCACGCCTTTAATCCCAGCACTCGGGAGGCAGAGGCAGGCAGATCTCTGTGAGTTCGAGACCTGCCTGGTCTACAGAGCTAGTTCCAGGACAGGCTCCAAAGCCACAGAGAAACCCTGTCTCGAAAAAAAAAAAAAAATACAGGATCAGGCGCTAGTGGTGCCCACCTTTAATCCCAACACTTAGGAGGCACAAACAAGTAGTAGATCTCTGAATTTGAGGCTAGCCTGGTCTACACAGCAAGTTACAGGACAGAGCTACATAGAGAGACCCTGCCTTGAAAACCAAATAAAGAATGAGGTAGACCCTTACACATAGCAGTTTTCAAACTCTGTCAGAAAGCTTAGGGTCACCCTTGATTACACAGACAGGCCGGCAGGAGCTTCATGAGACCCTGAAGCTTAAAAACAAAAACTCATGGTGAGAATATTGTTTTGTGTTCATTGTTTCCTTTGGAAAGTAATATGCTGAAGATACCGTGTTACTAAATATTTTTACCAAGAGAGAGAGATGCTATCGATCACCTCTTGGGCTGCTGGCTCTATAGAGTCCAGCATCCTTGGTGTATACTGGCTGTAGCCAGTGTTCAAGCTGAGGGTGGTTGTTGTACCAGAGTGTGTGATTTTAGTTTCCTGACCTAATCTGTTTCCTGTGCTGTAACAGATGATCTAACACCAGGTGGTTGATAAATCATGGTTTGGCTCACAGTACTGGTGCTAGGGCGTCCCAGAGTGTAGTTCTATGCTCATAACCTGGTGAGGGCCTTCCTGCCACACATGATGGCAGTGACCTCCCCACAGGTCTCTCTCTTCCTAGGCTTTCCTGAGATTTGCAGCAGTCCTCCCGCTTCAGGTGCTGTTTGCCATGCTTGACTCTCGCTCTTCTGTGTGAGGCATCTGGACTCCTGCCTCCACCCTCAAGTGTTGGGCATACTGTCCGGTAGAGCATTCACACGCACACGCACGCAGGCACCTGAAAGCTGCTGGTTCAGCCAGGCAATCATCCCATCACCGAGGAAGCTGAAGCAGGACTCCTACAAATTTGAAGAAGACTAGGTTACATCTGTCTAGATAGCAATATTTAAAAATAAAAGAAGCCATCACATCAAAGGTGGGAGAACCAACACCTATGACCTCACCATTAGGAACCCCTAATGTTTCCACCCACAACTACTACAAGACTCAAATATGCAGATGGGATGTTTCCAACCATGAAATTTGGGGTGACCTGTTTAAACCATAGCTGGGTGGCGGGCCTCCTCTCACTGAGGGATGACTATTTTGTTTGAAAGAAATACTGGGACCCAGCTTTCTTGATTCTCCTCAGTTCAGGGAATGGTGCAGTCACAGTGGGCACATTTTCCTAGCCAGTTATCCTCATCAAGATCATCCCCATAGGCTCACCCAGAGGTCCCTGGGCCTTTCATTCTAGATTGTACTAAGTGTATGGTTGGCATTTCACAGGCACTCATGGCTACCAGACTACTACATCTGTTTACTCAAGATAGAATCTCATAGTGTCCAGGCTAGCTTTGAACTCTTGGTAATCCTCCAGGCTCCTTACAGCACATCCCAAGGCAATAGTGGATCAGATCACACTGTAAGAAGTACAATCTGCTGGGTTGTTGGCACAGTAATACCCCAGGGAACAGGTGAGTTTCAAGGCTTGGCAGGTAGGGACACATGTGCTCACTTATCCAGCAGATCAACTGTATTCCCTCAGAGGCTGCCAGGAGCAATGACTGGGGAACAGGGGGTGGGGCTAGTTACCTCTCCATTGGGCTGTGTGATAGCTTTTGTGTATGCACCCACAAACACATGAAGAGGGCAGAGGATGTCAGGTGTTCTGCTTTATTTCATTCTCCATGTTGTTCTTTTGAGACAGGATCTCTCATTGAACCTGGAGCAAGGCTGGAGTCCAAAGAACCCAGCATCTTCCTGCCTGACCCCACAACAGAGGTAACAGGTACATGGGTATAGCCATTCCTGGCTTGATGAGGTTGTGTGTGAAACCAAACTCAGGTCCTCACACTTAGACAGCACTCTTGACCGCTCAACACTTCCCATTTTCTAACCATTTATTTATTTAATATATGTGGGGGGTACACATGCCATGGTCACATGTGGAGGTCAGGGGGCTACTTATA